TGCTCTTGAACATAGAGCAGCTACAGCAAAAGGAAAAAATGAAGTGAAAAAGCTGAACAGACGATTTCAAGGGTGGATTGAGAAGACTTATACTGAAATGTGCGAAGACCTGTAGTTAAAAAACCAAAAGGAAAGAACACGCTCGGCATTTCTGAAGCTGCAAGAACTGAAGAAAAAGTCAAGCTAGAGTTGCAATATTGAAGGATTCTATGGGGAAAATATTGAATAATGCAGGCAGCATCAAAAAAAGATGGAAGGAATACACAGAGTCACTGTACCAAAAAGAATTGGTCAATGTCCAGTCATTTCAGGAGGTAACATATGATTAAGAACCGATGGTATTAAAGGAAGAAGTCCAAGTGCACTGAAGGCATTGGCAAAAAAACAAGCGTCCAGGAATTGTCAGAATACCAACCTGAGATGTTTCAAAAGCAGATGCAACGCTGGAAGCACTCACTCGTTTATGCCAAGAAACTTGGAAGACAGCTACCTGGCCAACCGACTGGAAGAGATCCATATTTGCACCCCTTCCAAAGAAAGGTGATCAACAAAATGCAGAAATTGTCAAACAATAACAATACCACACACAAGTAAAAGTTTGCTGAGATCATTCAAAAACAGTTGCAGCAGTACGCAGACAGGGAACTGCCAGAAATTCAAGCCAGATTCAGAAGAGGACGTGGAATGAGGGATATCATTGCTGATGTCAGATGGATCTTGGCTTAAAGCAGAGAATACCAGAAAGATGTTTACTTGTATTTTATTGACTGTGCAAAGGCGTTTGACTGTGTGGATCATAACAAATTATGGATAACATTGCAAAGACCAGGAATTCCAGAACACTTAATTGTGCTCATGCGACCTGTATATAGATGAAGAAGCAGCCGTTCAAACAGAACAAGGGGACACTGCGTGGTTTAAAGTCAGGAAAGGTGTGCAACAGGGTTGTATCCTTTCACCATACTGACTCAATCTGTATGCTGAGCAAATAATCCAAGAAGCTGGACTATGTGAAGAAGAATGGGGCCTCAGGATTTAAGGAAGACTCGTAACAGCCTGTGATGTGCAGATGACACAACCTTGCTTGCTCAAAGCAAAGAGGACTTGAAGCACTTACTGATGAAGATCAAAGACTGTAGCATTCAGAATAGATTACACCTCAACATAAAGAAAACAAAAATCCTCACAGCTGGACCAATGAGCAATGTCGTGATAAACTGAGAAAATATTGAAGTTGTCAAGGATTTCATTTTACTTGGATCCACAATCAACACCGATGGAAGCAGCAGTCAAGAAATCAAACAACGCATTGCATTGGGCAGATCTTCTGCAAAAGACCTCTTTAAAGTGTTAAAAAGCAAAGATGTCATGTTGAGGACTCAGGTACGCCTGACCCAAGCCCTGGTATTTTCAGTCACCTCATATGCATGCAAAAGCTGGACAGTGAATAAGGAAGACTGAGGACAAATTGATGCCTTTGAGTTATGGTGCTGATGAAGAATATTGAATATATCATGGACTGCCAGAAAGATGAACAAATGTCTTTGAAGAAGTACAAAGTAGAACTGCCCCATAGGGTTTCCAAGGAGCGGCTGCTGGACTTGAACTGCCTAACTTTCTTTCCGTTAGCAGCCAAGTTCTTAACCATTTTGCCACCAGGGCTGTCTGTACTTGTTCCTTCTATAATTGCAAATAAAAACAAACTTTTTAAATAAAAAGTAACAATGCTCAATGACAGCCCTGCCCAAGGACCAGTTCATTAATTAGCTCATTTGCTTTCCAGAATTCCTGCAGCCCCGCTGCCACTTGTTGTCAGCTCCTTGAAACTGCAGAAATTTGCCTTTGCAGGTGTGGAGAGCCTGCTTGAATTACTTAGGGTGCATGAAAGAGCAAATTATTTAGGCAATAGAGCTGAAATGTGGGCAAATTAGAATTTTTCATAGCAAGATGGTTCATTGTTAAGCCAATTCATGATTTTCCGTGTGCCTCTTGCTTCAGATATCCCACTATACAATAAACCTCTTGGCTGTGATGAATATGTACGTGAGATCATTTAATCAATATACTTGTGAAGGTTGACGGTAGTGGTGTCTGACAGAGCTCATCCTTTGAGACGCTGGCTGAGTTAACACGTGCAGCGTATAGCTGGGCCAAGACTCATAATCTGTGTTAAAAGAAGAGTATTTTGAAAAGACACAACACTGTTAAAAGATGAAGAACTGCAAGGGATGGGAGGCAGAGGGCAGAGGGATTTTTCTCTTTTCCTCCCTAGATAGACTGAAAACTAAAGTTTGTAGAACTATACTACTTCCTTTTGAAAACTTCGCAAGGCATTGGCTACGTTTTTCTACATTTTTTTCCTCTCATAGACGCGTTTGAATTCTGTGAATTGATTTTAAAAAGTGCGGCAGGGGGAGATTTGTACATTGTTGGGTTAAACGGAGGCCTGAACAAGTGCCATGCAGCAGTCAGCCTGCAAACGTTTGCTTTCAGCGGTTGTCCACATGCGATCAGGTCACATCCGGCCGGCTTGCTCTTTGGGGCAGGGGGATTTTAGTCATTTCCAAAGACCACTTGCAGCTGGAATTGCCTTCTGAAGAGTGGCTTCGTCTGGCTGATCAGAATAGCTAAACCTTGCTTTGGAGGAACTTCCGGCGCCTTACCAAGAGGTTCCTCGTGAAGTGTGTGCTAAGTAATTCTGATGCTTCGGCCAGCACTGCTTCCAGGAACTAAGCACAAACACAGACACCGTGGAGGCAGATGTCTAGGTGAATGGCCTGCTGCCTGGATGTGTAGGTCGGTCGACAGTGAGCCTATTCGTACTAAGTGCTCTGGTCTCCATACATCTTTTGAGTGTTTTAGCTTGGGTACCCTCCAAATCTGAAAGACCCTGGAAACTGGTGCAAGACTTAAACCTAAGGGTTTGGGGGTCTGATTCATAGTGGCATCAAACTCTGGGTCTGTGCTACAACTACCCCATGACATGAGCCATTCAAGGGGGGATGTGCTGGGGTCAGGATGGAGCCCCCAGGGCCACCCCATCCTGAACAGACTCCTGTAGGCCAAGCCTCCGTAGCTAAACCTTGCAAGGTTTAGAGGAGCCAGGAGCAGGCATTTTGGCCAAAGCTTGTATCACCATCATTTCTGTTCTCATGGGTGGTCCACTAAGAGACAGTCAGACTGATAAGCAATAAATCCTCGTTGATTTGACCCAGATTCAGTGTTACTCAGCATTCCCAGTATGGCTTGCCCAGGCCCACCATATTTTTACAAAGGACCAAGTAGATATGCTTGATCTTTCTGTTGTTAAGACAGAATCCACACAACTCTTGAAAGGCCAGAGCTTAGTGTTAGTGTTGCTTTCATGACCTCAGGTAGTTTTGATGTTGACTGTTGGGCCTGACGAGGTTGGTCCGTCTCTCATTTCTGTGGTCCCACCTCCAGGTGAGGCAGAGGCAGGAGCAGCTCACTGTCGGTCGTATTTATTTCATATAAATTCTGTTGACTGAGGGGTCCGAGCACTTTGTTTTGCCTAATCATTCGATTCCTTAGGGGTCAGGGTGGGGGAGGCTGATTCTCACTCATGTGAGAAAATCCAGGCAACAACTCTCAGCTGACATTAAACACCAAAAACCCGCTGCCGTCGAGTCAGTTCCGACTCACAGCGACCCTATAGGACAGCATAGAACTGCCCCATAGAGTTTCCAAAGAGCGGCTGGTGGGTTAAAACTGCCGACTTTTTGGTTTAGCAGCTGAGCGCTTCACCACTGTGCCTCAAGGGCTCCTGATAATTGCCCTTCAGAATTTCTCTCCTCCCACGTGTACCGTGTAGCTGTTGTGAGTCCCTGAGAAACAGTGGACATAACACTATCCCTCTCTAGACTTGCAGGCCATCTGTGGCACAAAACTTTGCCTTGACTATATTAAAAATATGGAAGGTGCCGTCATTGTGAGGCGTTTAGATTTCATGAAGACTCTTCCTTGAAGAAATCAGGCTAGGCACTAATGGGGGAGGCCGACTTGCAAAGGACAGTTTTTGTTTAGTGCAACCTTAAGCACGTTAAGTTCCATCACTCAGAATATACATGTTCAACAGTGTGCAAAGACTCCATTGTTGAGATATTAGAAGGCTTCAGAACTATGGAAGTTGTATTGGATGTGAGATTTCAAACAATCTCTAAATCAGGACAAGCAAAGAAACCCCACATGTCAGCATTGAAAGGGATTGGAAAAGCCATTGATGGGAATTGCTTGCATTCCCTAAAAGTCACCTTTTACTAGCCCTCTTGAAAGGAAGTTACCGGGTACACATGGTTTATAGTGTGGTTAAATCTGGTCGTTTCATGCATGCTCTTTCTGTACTGAATTCAACATCCCATCAAATCCAAAGTAAGTGGTTGTGGGAATTATCCTAGGATATGGCATTACAATGGGAGAAAGGGTGGGCTGTGTGTGTATTTCAAGACTTTGAACCAGTTCGTTCCGGGTTTGAACTCCTGCTGAGAATTTGCATTTCTAACAAATTCCCAGGAAGTTATACATAAGAATCACCTGGGGATCCTGTTAAACTGTAGATCGATTCAGTATATCTAGGGTGGAAGTGCAAGTTCTCAAGGGGTTCAAAATGGAATGAACCAGTTCAAGCCCTGGTATGTCTATGTTACTTCCGGCATGAGACACATTCTTTGGATATAGTCATTTCTCTGTGCAAGGCGTGGGGCTGGGTAAAGGCTATATAAAAATGAAATAGACTTGGGCACTTCCAATTGTGTTTGTGTGTATAATTTAGTAGGTAATCTGACATTATACCTAGTAGTGAAAATCATGGACTAATAAATGTAGCGTAATGGAACGTTCCACATGAACTGGTCAACACTGTCATCCTGTCTGTGTAGCTCAGTGATGGTCTCTTCTTTATTTCACATACGTACAAATTCTACTTTATTGGTGACCCAAATCCAAGCACTTCGTTTTGCCTAATTGTTCTATTCCTTAGGTTTTTTTTTTTTTTTTTTTTTTTAATGCTTAATTACACTATTTCCAGTGCTGCTCAAGATGTGATATGTTTGCTGAGGAATGCGCTGTATCGTATTTGAGAACTTTGGTGTAATAGATATTAATTATTTGGTTAATCTTCCAGCATGAGACATCTTTAAGTAATCAGTTGGCAGAAACATGTGCATGCTGTACCAGGAAGTTGGTTTCCGACATCAATAACTCAGAAGCTACATGTCCAATTTGTCAGGATTCATCATGGTTAAATTCAGATAGGATGTTACATGTAGAGCTGAAAGGTTTTGATTGTACACAAATGGGCTAATTTTTAGCACGTGACAACGGCGTGATTTTTAACAAGAGATGAGTAAGGAATTCTTAACTTACAATCATATATCTCTTACGAACATTTTGAATTGAATTGGTTTCCTAAGTAGACCTGGCTTTTTGGAGTATATTTTTCTCTACCGGTCGAGCCACAATGCTCAGCCAAGACAGATTTATGACCTTTTAAAAGTAATGATGGAAAATGAGATTGGAGGAAACATTTTAGTATCTGCTTTGCTCTGAGGCCTGAACTGCGAACTCTCCAGTTCTTGAAGGCGTTGAAATGCTGATTCCAGCCTTCTTGTGGGTTCTTAAACACCTTCTCAGATGACCCATTTTAATAACCCGAAAGCCGTTATATAACGAGCAGCCATAATTTAGTCCAGAGCTCCAGGGGGCCCCTCACAGTTCAGCAATGAATAGTTAATGCAGTATAACGTTTAGCAGGTTATTAGTTTCCACCATACAAATGCTGATCAGGGAGCGCTTTTATAAGGTGTTGAAAAGAAAATGTAATTAACTGGTCGCGTGTTTTCTCTTGCAGCTCAAATTGAAATTATTCCATGCAAGATCTGTGGAGACAAATCATCAGGAATCCATTATGGTGTCATTACATGTGAGGGCTGCAAGGTAAGCCTTTTTAATCGTTGTTTCCGTTAGTGTTAGCAGGTAGCGTTGGGGCTTTTATTTTCTGCTTCGACTATTTCTAAAAATTCAACTCCTTGGTATTTTGAGTGATGAGAAATGACAGAACATGGTAAATATTACGATGTTAAATTGCAATTCAGGCAGTTGACATCGCCCCTCCAAAATGACAGGAGGCTACGGAAAGGTATTTGAGCATTGTTTGTTATTTGATTTTCACTTCAATCCCAGAATGGATTGACTTGATGATCTTAAAAAAAAAAAAAAAAAAACTTCTATGATATCCCTGTTTCAAGCTTTATAGGAAGGCATTTCCAGTAAATCTAATTGGAATGTGATTGGAAGTCTTCTTGTTGGCACACAGATGTTAACACATGTGACCAAATCATGAGGAGGCTGTTGGAAAGAAGCCAGGGATGATACTCAGTAAGCAAGGTACGCACGGGGTTACTTGTGCTTACTTACTAATCTGTAGTACACAGTTTCAAAGATGTGGTGAACCCCGTGTGAAATTGTGCACTACAGATTAGTGAGTGAACACCAGTAAGCTCGTGCGGACCTTGCTGACTGTTAAGCCCATGTGCACCTTGCTTACTGGTTAATCCACCCCTGGGAAGAACTGAGTTCTGACCTGGTTCCACCCCTTGTCCGTATTGTTTGGAACAGGTCTTAATCATTTAGTGAGTTGGTTTCTTAATCTAAAAAATGGGCATGAGACCTGTTCTTTTAGAAGCTTTTAGAACTATTCCAACAATCGAATGGAAAACTGTAAATCAAAGTCCTTATAAACTGGAAATTTATTATTATTATTGTTGTTGTTACTATTTTTATTACAACTGTCCTGATCTCGGAGAGTATGCACAGCACAAGTGTAATATGAGAATGGGAAATAGAGATGTTTATCCTGATAACTCAAGACCCTCCCCAAACCCAGATTGCCTATGTTATTCAGATTCCAGTTTATTAAGATTTAAATCCTCCTGCTTATATTGGAAGGGCCTTGAGACAGCTTAGAGGATAAAACAGTGAAAAATAAACAGGAGAGACGCTATCTAAACATGCAGGAAGCCTCTGAGACAGCCGATTGGTACAACCAGGTCTGCCTTCGCCCTAAGGCTTTTTGAGGCTAAAGCAGAAAATGAAATCCACAAATTTGGTTAGCTTTCCTTTAGTAAAATTAGAAAAAAATGACAATGCCATAAAATATAAAATCATCTACATATACAGCTAACAAACAGACATCAGGGACATCATGTAATTTCCTTCATTCTTCATTCACTGTTGATCATGGTAACGTTGGCTGCTTTGTATGTATACAAATGCTTAATGTTGATCCCATCTTGGTGAAGCTCTTCTATGGAGATTTTTGTACACCCACCAACTAACACAGTTAATCTAAAAAAAAAAAACAAAAAATCACCTGCCTTTTAGAAGTGAAGAGCTTGCTACTTAAAGGGAATTTTGAATTTTTCATTTCTATGATAATCCCTCCAGGGCTCACAGTTCTGGATTACCAAATGTAAATAGGAAGGGAAAAAGAAAAAAAAAAAAGTTCTGTCCTTTTGCTTCCTCAATCTGCCCTCCCTCAAAATAAGTAAAATGAAATAAGCTGCCTGGCCTCTGCCACCCCAGGATGTAAGGAGGAGAGGGCGCTGAATTTTAGAACTGGTTTGGCTGATGTAGCTGGGCAGGGAGGTGTGAGCCTCCATCGTCACCTTTGTGCTCCCATCTCCCAAAGCTGCGCCCTGACAGGAGATGGCAGCGGCTCCCTCCATGGAAGCAGGGCTCCCCGACGAGGAGTCCCATGCACAGCTGATGTCTGTGCATTGCACATCCCCTCGGTGTTTCCCTAAAGGCACCGGGGCCCAGGCAGCATCCTGGATACCAGTTCACTTCATGTCCCTTCATTCTGCTCAAGAGACTCATCACTGTCTCTGAGCCTCTCATGTGTGGTTTTATGTACAAACTGTAGTGAGTGTCTAGGAATTGAGTCTGGGGCAGGACCAGAGTGGGGATGGGGGCTTGTTGTTGTTAGGTTCCCTGGAGTCCATTCCAACTCCTAGCAACCCCTTGTGACAGAGTAGAACTGCCCCATAGGGTTTCTTAGTCTGTAATCTTTATTGGATCAGATCGCCAGGGCTTTTCTCCTGTGGGGCCACTGGGTGGGTTTGAACCACCGACCTATTGGTTAGCAGGTGAGCACTTAACCATTGTGCCACCAGGGCTCCTTGGGAGTGGGGGCTATTTCCTGTGAAATATTCACCAATCCAGAAGATTAATTAAGGACATGCTATGCAGTAAACCTGAATTGACTGGCTGAGTACCACTGTGTCTACACAGGCCATGTGTGCCCACCCTGCATGTTTATTTATGACAAGAGTAAAAGCAATAAGAAAAGAAGAGGCAGCCATTATTCCACAGCTGCCATGTTTCTAGATTCCCTTCCAGATCTTGTCCATTCACAGCCTCAATGACAAAGTGGTTTTCAGCCATCCATGGTCCAATGCTTCTGATCTACTGACTTCCTACAATGAAAGCCACAAAAACAAATAATTAAAACTTGGTTTTATTAGCATATTGGGCTTATGCCCAGCCAGGGACTTATACAATGTTATGTGTTCATATTTAATGCATATAGGATTTGCTCTGCATTATAATTTCTCTCTGCTATATCTAATATTTTTATTCCTAGTTATGGTGAAGTCAAAAACTTCTGTGTTTTGCCATCGATGTTGATCATTTATCATGTTCCAACCAGGTTAAAGTGGTTCTGCCATGACCGATTGTAAATTATTTATCTCTGTGATAGTATAATTCGATCTATGGACATTTTCTAATTAGATATATTAAGTAGATATTTAACAAGAGGAAAGAAAGTGATTCAGTCATTTTTGAACTAATCCTTTTGTGAACGTATCTCAAATTGCATTTTAAAGTCAGTGATCTGAAACCTTAAGAAACTAGGGGACCCATTTAATGGCTGAAATAACGATCTAATTCCCCATGTATCTCTTCAGGGAAGGTAGCGGACGAACAGCAAGCTTGGTAGATGTTTTGGTGGCTCCTTCTCTTGTTCCTGCATGTGCCCAGCTTTCCCGCTCCTCTTCTCCTTGCTGCCTAGAAACCGAAACCAAAACCAAATCAGCTGCTGTCAGGTTGATTCTGAGTCACGGCGACTCCACGGGCGTCAGAGTAGGGCTGTGCCGCATAGGGTCTTCAGTGGTTGGTTTTTGGCCTTGTTTCCCACGTGCCTGTGGGTGGGTTTGAACCACCATCCTTCGGTTAGTAGTTGTGTGTTTAACCATTTACGACACCCAGGGACTCATTGTGCTCCTTATAGAGAGGCAGTGTTGTGTCGGGATTAAGCTCCAACTCTGGAGCCAGCCCGCCCGGGTTTGATTCCCAGCTCTGCTTCTTACCAGCGTCCCCAACGTCTTTGTGCCTCAGGTTCCCCGTCTGTAAAAACGAGGATCGTAATTATAGCTACTTCATAGAGTCATCACATGCGTTCAGATGAAGCACTTTCAAGACTGTCTGGCTTGAAACAAGCATTCAGTAAATGCCGACTGTTGTTTTCATGATCGTTACTGGCCAGATTCCTTAGTGCCTTGATAATGCTGCGCTGTGCAGGCAGATATTATTTCCAGGACTTCTGTGGGCCCAGTCTTGATTTTTATGATCATTTGCCATTTGTTATGCAGAATCAATCAATAAAAACAAAAATATGAGACCCCTTGGGGCCAGGCACTGCGTAAGCCGTAAAGGACCCAAAGACATAAAGACCTGGTCCTTCCCTCAAACAGTTTATGGTCTAGTTATAGAGATGAGGCATACGTAGGAAGAACTAAATAACCATGCACAAGAAGTAAATAATAAGTCAAGACCACAGGCTGTGATGAGACGCAAGAAGACATTCCCGTAAGCAGCAGGAGCGAGGGCTTAGCGGAGAGCAATAACTGTACTCAGGTAACCTCGTGAGGTTTCAGGAGGAACCAACAGTGAGCTGGGAGACGGGGAGAAGGATTTGGACACAGCAGGATAGCTGGGAGGAAATTCTGGGCAGGGGAATCAGAGGAGTGGGGAATGGCAGAGGCAAAACCCAGGAATGGGAGAAGTCCTGGTTGTATTTAGATAGCTGCTGTCTAGTTGATCCCAACTCATGGTAAGATTACGTACAACAGAATGAGACACTGCCTGGTCCTCGGTCATCCGCATACTCGCTGGCATGTTTGAGTCCATCCTTGTGGCTACTGTGCCAATGCATCTCACTGAGGCTCTCTCTCGCCCTCACTGGCCCTCTCCTTCACCAAACGTGATGTCTGCTCCAGTGATTGATCCCTCCTGCTGAGGTGTCCAAAGCAAGTGTGTGAGACAGTGTTCTGTTGTGATCCATAAGGTTTTCATTGGCTAATTTTTAGAATTAGATTGCCAGGCCTTTCTTCCTGGTCTGACTTAGTCTGGAAACTCTGCTAAAACCTGGCTCCCGTGGTGACCCTGCCTGGTATTTGAAATACCAGCGACATAGCTTCCAGCATGGTAGCAACAAGCAAGCCACCACAGTACAACAAAGTGACAGATGAGTGGTTGTGGTTGTATTTAGGGGACAGTATATAACCCAGAAGTAGCCCTGGTGGTTCAGTGGTTCAGTGCTTATTGCTAACCGATAGGTCGGTGGTTTGCACCCACCAGCCGCTCCGTGGAAGAAAGATGTGGCAGTCTGCTTCTGTAAGGATTACAGCCTTCGAAACTACTCTGTCCTGTGGGGTCACTATAGGGTTGCTACGTGTCAAAATTGACTCAACAGCAACAGACTGTTGTTGTTATATAACCCAGTTTGATTGGAGCAAATGATCATTGTCGGTGGATAATGAAAGATAAAGGTAGACAAGTATCGCACCCCAGGTTCTTTTAAGGTTATGCCACGGTTTTTATTATAAAGGTATTTTACTTGTTGTTTTGAAAGAATGAAGAAACCTTTCACTGGG